ACTAGGGAAGACTGTGGCTGCTCCCCTTCATCCCTGGGGGACTAGGGGAGACTGTGGCTGCTCCCCTTCATTCCTGGGGGTCTAGGGGAGGCTCTGGCTGCTCCCCTTGATTCAGCCCTGGATAGACTGCTTCCTTCCCAGCATTTTCCTCCCTCTCTCCCAGTCCAGGTCAGTAATCACTGGCTCTTCTCCAGTCTGCCTTTTCCTACTGCATGCTATCTGTGATCACGTTGCTGTTTGTCTCCCTTGTTCTCTGTCTCTGCCAGTCAGTGTTCATTGCCAATTTGATTGGCGTTGGAATCACCTACGAGTGATGTGGGATTCCCCTCTGTGTGTTGTGAATATGCTTCATTGCCATTGGTTAATAAAGAAGATACTTTCAGCCAATGGCTTAACGGAGTACACAGCCAGGCAGAAAATCCAAACAGAGATGGAGAGAGAGAAAGTAGGCAGAGTCAGGGAGACGCCATGTGGCTGCCGAAGGAGAAAGCAAGCTGAACGCCTGACCCCATCTCTCGGCTTCCATCTACAAAAGCCTTCGCTTGAGGTCGCTACTGTGCCTTCCCACCATAAACTGCATTCTCTCAACCTCTGAACCACAGTGAACCCTGTCGGAGGCTGTGGAAATATATAGAATATGGCAATTGATAATTCAGATATCAACCCCCTAGAGGAGTGACTCTCTGATGGAGGTGAGTCCTCTCCAGGAAAGGCCTGCAGGACCACTGACTATGGAAACTGCTGCTCACTTTTGCTAAAACACTTGGTATCTCCCCAATACCTGCACTGTAGTGTGTAATCTCATGTGATGTGTGTACATAATCTCATGATGACCTCTCATCTTATGGGCACATATAACTGTAGGTGGTCAGAAAGATGACTTTTCATTAAACTGCATGATTTTGTTATATAGAATCTATACGGGGGCATGCTTCATAACTAGATCTATTTGTCCCACGAGGACTATAGACACTTAAAAACTTATTTTATTCCTTTTGCTCAGACTAACTGCACACAATCAGCTCATTTTACCTCAGAAAAAGTTCAAACTAGGCTAAAGGCTTTTTGTAAATCAATCAGAAGTTTAAAACTTTGCAGTTATGGGGGCTAGAGAAATGGTTCAGAGATTAAGAGCACTGGCTGCTCTTCCAGAGGTCCTGAGTTCAATTCCCAGCAACCACAAGGTGGTTCACAACCATCCATAATGAGATCTGGTGCCTCCTCTGGCCTGCAGACAAACATATAGGCAGAACACTGCACACATAATAAATAAACCTTGGACTGGAGAGATGGTTCAGAGGTTAAAAGCACTGACTGCTCTTCCAGAGCACCTGAGTTCAATTCCCAGCAAAAATATGGTGGTTCATAACCATCTATAATGAGATCTGGTGCCCTCTTCTGGCATGCATGTATACATGAATGCAGAACATTGTATACATAATAAATAATTTTTTTTTTCGAGACAGGGTTTCTCTATGGCTTTGGAGCCTGTCCTGGAACTAGCTCTTGTAGACCAGGCTGGTTTTGAACTCACAGTGATCCGCCTGCCTCTGCCTCCCGTGTGCTAGAATTCAAGGCATGTGCCACCCGCCCAGCTTGTAAACTTTTTCATTACTTCAAGGCCCACATGGAGAAAGAATTATTAGGCTAGAGGAGAAGAAGCAAGGAGAAACTAGAAGTGGGACAGGAGAATTAGAATAGAGGCAGGCAGAACAATAAAGAGACTGATTTGGAAAAGCACAACATGACAGAGCTCATTCATTATGTTATGCCCAAAGTCTGGAACATAGAGATACCCCCATGAGACCAAATCTGTTGCAAAAGCAGAGTCTTTATAGTGAGTTAGCTCAAACCTTCCTGTCCTGGAGTAGCAGCAATAGGCAGCAGGAGCAGAGCAGGAGAGACCCCAAGTGGTGTGAGGAAGGGGTTTTAAAGCTTGGGGAATTCCAAGCTTACAGGTTTGGGATTAGCTGTCCCCTATGGGATGATACCTGCTGATTGGCTCATCCCATTTTAGGGAGGAGTTCCATGATGTCATGGTTCAGGGAGAGGTACCGCCTCTATACTAGAGGTAACTACTTCTCTGGGCTGAGGTCCAGAAATGGTCAGGCATGCCTCTAGGCTAGAAGTTACTACTTCCCTATTCAGGGACTGGTCAGTTTTTCCTGCTCAGGGATTGTACTAGGGCCTGGATCTTAGTTTGCCCCCAGATACCCTAAGAAAAAAGTTCCCTTTGTTTGCTGTAGCGGCTAATCTGAACCCTGAAGAGAATCTTGGGGCTGGACCCCAAAGAATCTCGATAGAACCCTTCCTACCTTACTCTCTTTGTCAGATAGTTAAAGCAATAAGGGAAGTAATTCAGATTTTGTCCCTCTCTTCTCCTGAGGTGGTTAAGTATGCAAACATGAGTTCCAGATAAACAAGTACATTTTAACATAGGTTATGATTTGAATGAGAAATGCCCTGAACCTGGCTAGGTCTCTGGCATTTTGGAAAGTTAGGTTGATTCTGAAGAAGAGTATCTTAGCGTTCACACAAGACAGAATCTGGCACTTTTTTATTCTGTTTTCTTCCTCTTGCAGTAGTGGATTTCTCCCCGGTCTCCCTTTCCTGAGTAATGGCAAGGACGCCAGTCCTGAGGTCTGGTGTCTGGGCACATGCCTGATTTTTCAGCAGCCTGTCTGCTCCCTCCCTGGCATACACAGGCTCTCCTTGTTCTCCCGCCACGCTGGACAGCCTGTCTCCTCGGGCTTGGATGACTGTTCCTGCCCCATTGCTTACCACCTTTCCCCACACCATGAATCAGTTTCTTTATTGTTTGGGTTTTTTTTTTTGAGACAAGGTTGCATTTTTGTTTTAAAATTATAAAATGATATTAAAATATTGGAACTATTTTAAGGCAAGCAGTGGTAGGTGCACACCTTAATACCAGCATACAGGAGGTAGAAAAGAGGTGGATCTCTAAGTTCGAGGCCAGCCTGGACCACAGAGTGAGTTTCAGGACAACCAGATGCGTGTCTGTAATGGGCATGTACACATGCGTGAATGTGCCAGGGGCCCAAGGGTGCTGGATCCCCTGAAGTTGGGGGACACAGGAGGTTGTGAGCTACCCAATGTGGGAGCTGAGAACTCAGGTTCTCTAAGGGCAGCACATGCTCTTTATGGCTGAGACATCTCACCAAAACCATATTTTAATGTGCAAACATACCCCTCCATGCCCACCAGAGTCGAGAGCAGGTTCAAAGCAGAAACATCACTGCGATAGGGCTTGCAGATTTTCTTCAAAGTCAGAGAGCATCTGTTCTCATCACCCATTTTTCCACCTGTCACTGGCTCATCCCATCAACCATCTCAGCTGGGCTGTATTTGTGCGTGCCATCTGCACCGAGGACATGTTCAAATGTAGCTATTTCAGACACTGCAGAAGCCAGAGGTGTCACGATGTGGTTTTTGTCTGTCTTGGTAGGACCTCTCCAGCGCTGCCGGAGCCGCCCCTGCACACAGTGTAGAGTAGGGAGGCCGATTTCTTAAGAAAATGAGCTACTCTGTCAAATGAGAGGACATGTACACCAGGAGCTGCTGCAGCCGCTACACCGCTGCTTCAACCGAACTTAGCCCAATCCCCACCAACAATAACAATGATCAAAATGATAATTAACATTATGTCAATCCAGGTTGATTATCCCTTCATTTGATTGTTCCAAATTTAAACCATGCATTGTGTAATCATACAGACTTAACTCTCTCTGTTGTAATAGTGTTTCCCATTTTTTTTAACATGGGGAAAAAAAATCTCTCTTTTAACTAATTCCTCCCTTTAAGACAACTGGCTCACCAAATCTGATGGTGATGGCAGTGGAGCCTAAGACTGTGCAGCACATCTAACTGGAGCACACAGGCGGTGCACAGCCTGTCTGTGGACAGTGCAACTGCCAGCGTGTAGCCGTGAGCTGAAAGCGTGTAGTGGTCGCAATAACAGCAGAAGCCTGAGCAGCTACCTAGTGTGCCGACATCAGTCCAAGGAAGGGGTATGGGGGAGCTCACAACCCACAGGGGAGAGGGAGCTGGTTGTCTGAGAAACACATCTGAAGAGTGGTGGGATCCTGCCACCGGAGCTGCTGAAGCCAGAGCCAGCCAGTACAAAGGGGTAGTAAGTCTGCCTGCAACATTTGAAGCCCACGTGCCTCTGGCACTTGGGGCCTGTGGAGTTTGCTGCAGAGAGGCTGCAACAAAAAAATTCCAAACTCGCTCAGAGGCTTAGGGAAAATTGAGAGAAAAGCATAGCCGGCGAGGAGGCAGTAACTCGGGCGGGAGCCCCTGCGTGTAGTTCCGGTGTGTGCCAGTAGCTGCAAAGCCATAGGCAAGCAGCCTTTGCATGAATTCATGCCCTAACGTTGGGCACTACATATAGCATGAGTTCTAACTGGTCTTAATAATAAAAACCCAGAGTCAAACATTAGAGGGCGAAAGCTGAGCAGTCAGCCACTAGAGTCCTTACCTCTACAAAATCCTCAACCAAAAAGGGGCTGAGCTCCTATCTCCCACCTTATATTCCGCTCTCTCTCTCTGCCCAGCCATATCACTTCCTGTCTGTACAGACCTCCAGACCTCTATGGTTAACTTGTGGCTAGCTCTGTCCTCTGATCTTCAGGCAAGCTTTGTTAGAACACAAAGAAGATATCAGCATCCAGTTCTGCCTAGACCAGGCCTTGTGCACATTAAGCTCCTGAGAACAGTGAACTGCAGGTGATGGTGGCACAGCACAATCGCAAGCCACTTACCAACGACCCCACTGCCTAGGCCCAGCCGACCCACAGCATTCTCAGGGGGAGACAGTCACTATAGCAACTCTGCTACCCGACCATGGAACGCTTTCTCCCTCTCAGGAGCACTTCATCTAACTTCTTCAGCACTGGACCGGACTTTTTGGATGAAGTACCATAGCTCTTCAGAACGGCTTCAAACACAGTCTCGGTGTGGGGGTGGGTGCTGAAGAAGGCCTTCTCCAGGACATAGAGGTCGACGCCTTTATCTTCCGGCAGCCCCGAAACAAAACTCAACCCGAAGTCGATGAGCACGATGTTCAGCTGCCCCAGGGGCCGCTTCAGGAGCGTGTTGGAGGTGGTGAGGTCCCCGTGAATGAGGCCTTCGTCATGCATTCTAGCCAGAACCTGCCCGATTCTCCTGGCCAAGCCCAGGAGGCACTGGGGGTCTTTTTCGGTCTCCATAGTGGACTGGATATAACCTCGAACAGTCACTGAGTCTTCGATTTCTTCCATATACAAGCAGTTAGAAGCATAGTCCACAAAGAAGACAACCGGGGCAGCGATCCCTGCAGTGGAGACACAGGTGCTAGTGTGAGTATCTGTATGAAGGAGGCGTAACCTGCCCAGGTGGGGCCAGTTTTTCAGTCTAAATCTTCTTACTCTGGAGAGGGCTCAGGAATGCTGTGGGAATGATAGAATTTAATCAGAAGCTTGCCTAAGCCCTGCTCTAGCCCTGCGGGGGACGATGGCCCAGTCCAGGGTGCGTCTGCAAGTGCTTGCTCCTCTTTCTCAAGTCACCTTAGGACTGGAATTCATTGCTACTCCCTTAAAAAACAAAGGAAACAGAATCCAGAAGGGAAAGCATCCTCCAGTCTGAGCGGCGGCGACCTGACTAGCAGGAGGCTAAGCAGCAGCTCATCTTACAGACCCATCTTTTTCCCAGGACAGGCAGGTTCAAATCCCAGTTCCCTCCTTATTAGTGGTGAAACCTCAAGGTTCCATTAGCTTCTCTATATCTCGGTCTCTGATACTGTAATGTGGTGACAATAGCTCCAATTAACTCCAGGAGTCTCTCCTGACGGCCAACCTCGTCCAGGGCCCTTTCCTAGAAACTGGAGACCTGTCAATGGGGGTCAGGGTAGCCACCACCTCTGTCTGATAAAACTTACAAAAGAAGGTGAAAAGGAAAATATGGGCACTACTTTACAGCTCCATTGCGTCTACTAGGACAGGAAAGTGCTGGCCTGTTCACTGCTGAGCTTCCCAAGGCTCCTGGCACCCATCAACCACTAAGGAGAAAACCGAAGGAGTGTAAAAGAGAAAGGCCCAGATCCCAGATACAAAGCCAGGGCACTTGGTTGTCTGCGGAACTTTGGACATTTTCCCTCTTTGTGCCTAGTTTCTCTGGAGGACAAAGCTTTCTTGTGGGGGAACCAAAAGATGTTTTAAGAAAAAAATAAACATCCAGGAGTAGTGGCTTACGCCTTTAATCCCAGCACTTGGGAAGCAGATGCAGGCAGATATTTATGGTTTGAGACCAGGCGAGGTAGTGAGGTCCAAAAAAGGCACAACAAGCAAAAAAGAAATTATTTAATGAAGCCTGACGTTTATTGAATGCCATGGCAACATACAAACGTGATGTACATCCCGAGATGCGACCTCGACTATGATTTCACATTACAGCTGAGGAAACTGAGGCAAGACAACTTACTAAAGGGCCACACGGGAAGCAGCACTGGTAGAATCTGAGTCCGGCAAGCCTGGCTCCAGATACGCGCCTGTCAGGGCACTCGGTACTTTTTGTTTGTTTATTTTTCAAGACCGGGGTTTCTCTGTGTAGCTTTGGAGTGTGTCCTGGAACTCGCTCTGTAGGCCAGGCCTCGAACTCACAGAGATCCTCCTGCCTCTGCCTTAAGAGTGTTAGGATAAAAGGTGTGCTCTACCATCTTCCAGTCAACATCAGTGCTTAAAACTACAGGTCCCAAAGCTACAGAGACAAACAACAGCAGCAACAACAACAACTAAACAAAAAACAAAAACAAAAATCCTACCAAATGGAGAGAGGACTACAGCAAGCTGAAACGGGGAAATTGAGGCTCCGTGCGCTGAACGACACGTTAGAGATAGCTGCCAAGCAACAAACCAAACGGAAAGGTGTCCCGTGCGGACACCCCATCCCGTCCCGTCCCGTTCACCCCATCTCTGGGCCTCGGAGCCCCGTCCACTCCAGTCCCGTCTGCCTCGTCCGCGCGGCGGCAGCGGAGCAGCGCCCGCGCCTTGCGCCTTCTGCACCGTCCTCCGCCCGCCGAGCCGC